GAATTGCAGAGCTGGAAGGAACCTTCTGGATCATTGCATCCAGTGCCAGTCAAGGAGGCACAGAGGGGGGGAATTGAATTCCCAACCTCTGGCTCCACAGTCAGACACCTAAACCACTGAGCTATCCAGCTGTTCATTTCTGTCTAATTCTACTGAAAAAAAACTGAAACAGAATCTAGAAAGCCGTCCTACATAACAAGAAAAAAAATCACATCCACAAACTTAACAAAACACCTAGGAATTTGTAAGACAGCTTCTTTGTGGAGAAAAATGTCTGGAATGTTTCTTGAAAGGCAGGTGGATTTCATTCAAGTACTTCTATAGTGTAAATTATCCTAAATCCCCCCCCCCTTTCAAGGAATGTGATATATGCAAGGCTTTTTAAAGCCTTGAGGGATATCCTGTCAGTTCCACTCTATGGTATAACTGACAGCCTCCTCACGATTCTTCCAAATAAGCAGAATCAGAGGAAGTAAATATTTGCTGTGTTTGCACCTACACGTTCCTGGGCTAAAAAGACAAGTACTTTCTTGCAAGGAGCAGCGATGCAAGGCTTGAGTGGGTGGTTTTAAAAGGATGTCCCACAAACACTCTTCTACTTGTTCACACATCAATAGCTAGTAGACACAGCGTCTTAGCAGAATCAGTGTCTGCCACCCAGAAGACTGTGGAGCCATTTGCTCTTAAGTCTTTTTCACTCAACTTGGTCATTCTTTCTTCTTAAGCATACCCAGCCCGACACCTTGATTCAAACATTTTTATTTGAAGGAACCATATTGTGGGAAATTCCACAAGGAACCCCATGTGGTAACACCTAGAGCACAAAGGTACCACATGACTTTGCCATCTCACAATATTTTAAGAAAACTAAACTACACAGAAGTCACAGCATTAAAAAGGATTTTGTACCAACAAGTAGAACATGGAACTGAAGCACTGTCATTATGAATATTCCCCACGTGCATGTGTTTTGTAATATGTTAACACATTCCAAAAAAAGGCAGCTCCCTGCCCTAAGGAGTTTACCATCACATATGGTCAGGCAAGAGAGAAAAGGGAGAAAAGTAGAGACAAAAAAGAAAGAGAACGAACAGGAAACAATTATGAATACCTAGATATGGACTTAAAATAGAAAAAAAGAGAGAAAATGCCTTTACTGTACTTCTTAACAATTTACTGTAAATCTAGAGCATTAAGATGTTAGATTTCCCTTAGCTCAAAATGGAAGAAATTTGAAACTACTGAAAACAATTGCATTTGTTTATGCAGTTTTCTTTGTCTTGTCTATTCAGCTGTTGAAAGACCTAACACAATTTTCTCTCAGACCTTTGGGTAATTTACTGTTTGTTTGCTTCCCCCCCCCCCATGAAAAGAAGCCCATTTTTGGAATTGGTGCATTTTCAAGCAAAGCAAAGACAGGGAATTCCCCATTCCCGGGCTCTCCAGAGACATGCCTCTTGGACTTTCTGCCTCAGTGGTTTCATCCAAACAGGAAGGGCAGCCTGCCGGCAGGAGGTAGTCAGGCCTCGCATTCCTCTAAGGGGGAAAATGTCACTGGGAAGAGTAGGCGGCTCTCTCCAGAGACAATCTCCCCATTGCCCAAGCATCAGTCTTCAAGATGTTACAGACCAATAATCCACTAAAGAAGCCTTTGGGCTGGTGCTAAGACTGCAGCGCCACCTACTGACTGAGGACCATAAGCTTAAACCTTCCTGAAAAATCTGAATACATTTTCATATACAGTACAGTATTTGCAAATGAGGCCTGCGCTACAGTGGGCAGTGGTGCATTACAAGATGCACCTTATCGTTAAGAGTTCCGAGTATAAATAGTGAACCTATACACAATTACTAATATAACCTATACACAATTATTACTAAACATCTACTTCTGCTTCACTGACTACGCAAAAGCCTTTGACTGTGTGGACCACAGCAAACGATGACAAGTTCTTAAAGAAATGGGAGTGCCTAACCACCTTATCTATCTGCTGAGAAACCTATACGTGGGACAGGAAGCAACAGTCAGAACTGGATATGGAACAATTAATTGGTTCAAAATTGGTAAAGGAGTATGACAAGGCTGCATATTGTCTCCCTGCTTATTTAACTTATATGCAGAATACATCATGCAAAAGGCTGGACTGGAGGAATCTCAAGCCAGAATTAAGATTGCCAGAAGAAATATAAACAACCTCAGATATGCAGAGAATACCATTCTGATGGCAGAAAGTGAGGAGGAATTAAAGAACCTCTTAATGAGTTTGAAAGAGGAAAGCGCAAAAAAATGGTATGAAGCCCTACATCAAAAAAAAATAAGATCGTGGCCACTGGTCCCATCACCTCCTGGCAAATAGAAGGGGAAGATATGGAGGCAGTGACAGATTTTACCTTCTTGGGCTCCATGATCACTGCAGATGGTGACAGCAGCCACAAAATTAAAAGATGCCTGCTTCTTGGGAGGAAAGCGATGACAAACCTAGACAACATCATAAAAAGCAGAGACATCGCCTTGCCGACAAAGGTCCGCATAGTCAAAGCTATGTTTTTTCCAGTAGTGATGCATGGAAGTAAGAATTGGACCATAAAGAAGGCTGACCGCTGAAGAATTGATGCTTTTGAACTGTGGTGCTGGAGGAGATTCTTGAGAGTCCCCTGGACTGCAAGGAGAACAAGCCTATCCATTATGAAGGAAACCAACTCTGAGTGCTCACTGGAAGGACAGATCCTGAAAGTAGGGCTCCAATGGAGGCTTTGGCCATCTCATGAGAAGAGAAGACTTCCTGGAAAAGACCATGGTGTTGTTAAAGAGTGAAGGCAAGAGGAGAAGGGGACGACAGAGGATGAGATGGTTGGACAGTGTCATTGAAGCGACCAACATGAATTCGACCAAACTCCGGGAGGCAGTGGAAGACAGGAGGGCCTGGCATGCTCTGGTCCATGGGGTCACGAAGAGTCAGACACGACTTAACGACTAAACAGCAACATACACAATTATGTAATGCACCCTGCAACACACAGGGAGAAGATTTCTCATTCAACGCCTCCACAGAACACTACCCACACATTGAAATTCAGGTTGCACTGTCTGCCAGACTAGTGCTTCTCTGCAGTTTGGCTCTGAAACAACCAGTCAAGATACAGACTGCTGAGTCTTTGCTAGGAAGAAGTGAGGGCCAGGTATTGGAGTGCTATTTGCAGAAATTCACTAAAAATGTGAAGCTAGCAAGTTAAAGAAGCCTTCCATCACACTAAGAGCCTGAGCTGCTAATGCCAAGAAGGGGAAAGTGTGGCCTTCCAGATGTTCCTGGGCTGCAAACCCCAACAAATGCTGAAATCCAGCAAAATCCTGGACATTCTGTCTAACATTGTGCTGAAGCTTCAGCAAAAGGGCAAAATGATATCAGTCAGTCAGGAACATTGCATTTGGAAAGTGCCAATGGGGCTTCTTCTCTTCATCTCATGCCGTCCAAATGTTTCAAACTTCGGTCCATCAGCCTACAAATAATCAAGAATCCTGGTACCTTAAGACATCTGGAAAGCACTCGCTCAAAAAGGACCACAACTTAAACTGTGATAGCTCTATGGATCTCCATCCCATATCACTTTTATTTTTTTATTTTCGCCGTTAAAAAATATACAATGGTCAGTTTTAAAACTAAAAACAATTAAGCATATTAAAACCAAGATTAAAAACAATGTTTAGAAACAAAATATTTGAAAAGCTATTTGTGATGGAATGCTTCTTTAATTTGTTAGCCTTTTATCTCTTAGCCAATTTCTATGACAAGCTTTCTAGTACTTGGCCTTAACCTCTTATCATTTGAATAGCTTGTATTTCTAACCAGCATCATCCTTCACACCAAATTTAATAAGGGTAGGATAAATCACTCTGGTGTTCCAAGAAGCAGAAAGGTCATGATTTTAGCATAGTGCAATTGGAGAACTATTCTCCATGGCTCTATAGTGTTAGCCCTATTCAAGCGTACAATTGCATGAAGGAAATCTATGAACAGAAAACAGCAGTCGGGGTGTACCATTGCCCTCGCTTAAAGCCTGTACAGCTTCCTCGTTCCGTGACTGACTTCCACATCTGAATTCTCTACACTTAAGGAGAAACCAATGAATGTGCATCCCAAAACAGGAAGCCTTTCAAAAGAACTGGAATCCTTCATGATTCTGGTACCAACTTCTATAGTAACATTAGGAAGATGCAGGGAATGACACAGAAACCATGCAGTGGCAGGGCTGGGACAAACAACACTGCACAACTGCCCTTTTCTTTACATGGATAGGAACCTGGAATGTAAGATCTATGAACCTTGGGAAGCTGGATGTGGTCAAACAGGAGATGGCAAGAATAAACATCGACATCCTGGGCATCAGTGAACTAAAATGGACACAACTACGGGAAGCAGTGGAAGATAGGAGGGCCTCGCGTGCTCTGGTCCATGGGGTCACGAAGAGTTGGACACGACTAAATGACTAAACGATGACTGTAAACTAACATATTTTCAGAGTAAACACAAGTTCTTCTTTGTAACCATTCCCAATGCACTGGTCTAATTAGTAATAACTGTGTGCCATCATGTCAGGCCTGAATTATGGCAACCCTTTTCAGGGTTTCCTAGGGAGACAGTACACAGGAGTGCTTTACCATTCCTTACTTTGGGGGCATCCTGGGACTGTACAGCTTACTCAAGGCCACATAGGCTGGCCCTTCTGGGATGCACAACAAGGAATTAAACTCCCAACCTCTGGCTCTGCAGCTAGGAGCCAAAACCACTGAGATATCCAGCCAGCTAATACTGGCCTTTTTATCACAACCCAATTGGTACCTGGCCAAAAGAATACACCTTTTGGACTATTAGTTGAAGGAGCAGAACTTCTGCATGGATCAAACTCCAGATGTACATTCATGTGCTACACTAATGAAAAATGAGGTCAGGAAAGAAAAGTAATTGTGTTGTTGTTTTTTTGGAAAACACACACACCTTCATGAAAATGAAGACATAACCATTTATTCACAAAGCATATTTTGGGATTCCTGGTTCCAGAAACTGTGGTTAGACCCACACTGAGAACAGTGTTCTTTTCTGGGTTTCAATGTGAGCTCATTCCACGGCTCTCGAGGATTTAGAAAGGCAGGATGAACATATTTCATGGCCAGAAGACACAAAGCACTCACTGGCCTTGCTCAGTCTGCTTGTGAGCCATGATTCACTTCACCTGGAGAAACCAATGAAAATATTTTGTGGGAACATTTAAATACTGACCCCAAGTCCAGGGCAGAGGCATGAACATTGGTCTATAATCCAGCATGGTGATCCCATATCCAGGAAAGAGCCACACAACAGTGCAATCCTGAAGTAGATCTAGGTCTAGAAACCTTTGTTGAACCAACAGGGGTGGGGTGAGGTTAAGGAATTGAACCTCCACAGGACGTGCAAGCCATTGACATATTATAGAGATAGGTATGGTTGAAACAGAAACAGACTCTCCATTGTCCAAGGAAGAACATTGAGAGTGAAGAGTCCCAGAAATATTAAAAAGCTGCATCCCGCTATAGATGGGGTGCCATAAGCAACAAAATAGAGATCAAATTAATTTGAGCATTTATTGCATGATCACCTGATAGATATGTTCTTTTTCTGGGCAGATGCATACTTACCTTGGCCTGGCAATAAAGTGGTTCTGAATGAAGCAGAGTTAACAACCCAATATTAAGAAAAGAGAGGGATGCAGGCCTGGGACAGTCTTTAAGCCCAAAACAACTATGACTGCTTTGCAACACATTTGCACAATCTAAAGCTGCATGAGGTTCCTAATGGATGTGTTTATTAGTGTTTTATTCAAAACTAAGCCCTACAGCTGTTGAAAAGAGAACTGAATAGGTCTGTCCTACATAGTCTTTTCCCATTCCTAATAATACAGTACACTTGCACTATGGAGGGAGAGAGTACAAACCAACTGTTGTGTGCACATGCTGTATATTGAACAACAAAGGTGTCGCCTGAGCTTGTAAAGACTCTAGGGTCTAAAAATCAATTAGCACCACTTGTTCTTGAAGTCCTTTGGCAAACACTGACCAGGGGAACAGTGCACGAAAGCAAAGGTCTGGACCTCCGCTCCAAACATCAGTAACGACCCATCACATTAGTCTTTTTGTGGTATTTTCCGGGTGCCAACAACTCCAATGCTAATTCAGTTATTATAGCTGTGAGACCCCACACACGGTGAGGACCACGTGGGAAGACGGGCAACGTGTAGCTGTAGACGCCATTGTAGCAGTAGTGGGTGTAGCCCTGGTTCTCTTCTTGCAGGAGGTGGGAAATGGAGAGGGTGAAGGCAGCCTCAACCTGGAAATCAAACAACAAAGATCACCACCCTCCACAGGGATATAGACTCACTCTCATGTCTTCCACCCAAATGTTTAGGACTAGGTAGCTAGGAAAGCACTGCATGGCTAGTGCTGAGCCTTGCCTTCCCCAAGTATCTCCCTGGTAGCACATCCAACAAAAGGTAACCATGAGAGGATCCCATGGCATTCTTGCCACCCTCTGTCTCACCTCCTGGGCGTTAGGCTTCAGAACCAGGTGCTCCAAAGGACCCAAGTTTGCTAGCACTGGAACAACTATAATTTTGGTCTGAAAGGGAATAACAGGCAAACACGAATGACTTCCAGACCGCTCCATATTCTCTATTGCAAGGCATGCCTCGAGGTAATAAACCTTTACATCAATAATTGCCCTCTGGCAAGCCCTCTGATCCACTGCAATATCCTGAAACGTCTTCCATTTTCTGCACCAATAGATATTGCTCCATGAGGATCCCCCTCCTCAAGTAACCCCATTAAAAATGGAGCATCAGCCGCTGCTCCCTTAAAGAAACCCCTAAAAATACTGTGATTCCAAATGCAACATTACCCTGTCAGGCAGAGGTCTCATGATCCCCCAGACGCAGTCCTCCCCTAACTGCACGCCCAGCTCTTCTTGAGTCTCCCTGAGTGCCGTGGCGATGATATCCCGGTCGGAGGCCTCACGCTTGCCGCCTGGGAAACTGCATGAGCAAATCACCGTGTGAGACAGAAGGCGAGAGGGATGTCCCACTCGATGGAGAGCCGTCCCTCCCCCCATAACAAGAATAAGGAGGAGAGTCCCCAGCCAGCACCAGAACCTGTGGCAGAAGCTCAGCAAGGGACAGAAAGAGGGGAGTTGACTGAGAACTTGCAGGGTGTGACAATGAGAGAGGTCCATGAGGAAAAGGTGGGAAAAGAGAGGAAGAAAAGGGTGGAGTTTGAGGCAGGAACAGGAGAAGTAAAAAGGAAGAAAAGTCAATTGCCAGCAGGCTGGGGATGGGTGTGGATGGAGGACCCCCTGGACAGGATTCTGGGAGAGGCTGAGAGTGCCTAAAGAGGAGGTGGATTACAGAAGAAGAAGGGAAATTCCACCCAGACCCTCTTATTGGGGAGAAGCTGAGGTGAGAGAGTGGAGGAGGGGGTTGAGAGAAGAGAAGGAAAGAGTAGAGAGAGAAAGGAGAGAGAGGCTAGAAGGGAGAATGAGAGATGAAGAAGTACTACAGGGAGGACCCTGGGAGGACCGAGACCCTGAGGGACGAACCCTGTGGAATGGCGATGGGGATGACGAGACCGTGCCCTTGGTGGAAGGTTCAACGGGGCAGACCGTGAGAGACTGCGACCCTGCTGATTTACCAGGACCATGGAATAATAGTTATGGCAACCTGTTCCTGTTTGAATATTGGAGACCCCTTCCGGACCCGTTGACAGAAGGAGAAAAGACTCACAATCATGTAACAGACACTTGTTTATCGTTAAATGCACCAATGAATCTTTCGCCTGTTTTCAAGCAACAAAAATCTACTGATTTCTTTGGACTGAAAGAGGAGCCTAAAGCCGAACCCTCACTCATAGTTCCTTTAAAAAGGAAAAATTAAGAGTGGAAAGCCAGGGGGCTCTTAAGATTACTGAGGAGTTCTGAAAGCCTCAAAGGGAAAAAAATCTTAAGAGCTTAGTGGAGATCTTGAAGATGTCCAAATCTCACATCACTACAGGATCTACACTGCAGACTGCAAATTATACCATATCTGACCAGTATCCCACCTTCTGTTTTAATATCTTTGGTGAAGGAGTGGCCTCAGTTTCCTAATACAGGCCATTCCATTTCCAAGTTCTCCTAAAGTTTACCCAAAATCTGCATCCTGGTCATTTTCACTCATTGATTCCAGCCCTGGCCTCTGCACCAAAAGAGGACAAGCCTGCTCCATCTTGTGCACATCAGCCCTTGAGATACCTGAAAACCACTAATAATATTTTCCACATAATCTTTCCTTTTTGAGTTACATATACTTAGCTCTTTCAACAGCTCCTCACAAGACTTTGTCTCATGTCCCTCTAAGAGACCAATCTGAGAGGAGGTACATAGAGACTGGTCACAAGGTACCCCCGAGTCCACCAGGAAAAAACATGAACGGGCCTGCCAAGTACCTGACATCTCCTTTGTGCAAACCACTCAGGGTGCTGGACCGCAGCGTGTACAAGATGGCTGGCTCCCCAGCCACAGAGCACAAAGACACCAGAACAGCTGCGGAGGCAGCTTCTTGTTCTTTCCTGTACTGGTTGGCAGATGCTTCTAGCAGCCCTCGGCACCGCTGCTCATTTTCCCAGGATAGGTACCTACGAACTGGGCCCATGTTGGGTAGAGAGATAGAGGACACACCCTGGCAGAGGTGGCGAAGAGCTGGAAGCATAGTGCCCTAGGGGGGAAAGAAGAAGAAGAAGAAGAAGCCGCCTTGAGTGCTCCTCTCCATCGCAGCTGGAATAACCACCAAGGTATGAAGAAAAGTTGCCACCTTGTCGGAAACTCCCGTCCATGACAAAAAGACACCTTTTTGTGTCAGTCTGGGGTAGCTTGGTTACTCAGTACTCACATGGTTTGTCCCACTTGATCAACGGCTTAGACCAGTAATGTGTTTTTTTTACAGTTAGACCATGCTACATGCCTGTGTTGGCTAGAGTGCCAAGGATGGGGGAAAAGATCTTTGCCCAGGAAGCATATGACTCAGTAAAGCAGCAGGCAAGTGGCAAACCTATATAGATGGAACCCATGCAGCTGTCCAGTATGGAATTTACATCAAGGACAACCTCAATCATTTCGGAATTGAAGGTCACCCAAAATGAAAGAAAAGAAAGAAAAGCATATACACACGTCAACGGGAAACATCTTTCCAGGCTTTTCAAACCATCCACAAGCACAAGAGATACCCCCCCCCTTATTTTATCAATATTGCACAAAAAGCCAACACTTCAGTGCTGTTGTTATTTATATGGTACCACCCAGGAGGGGCAGAGGTGGACCAAGCACGTCCCTCCAAATACGGTATCGACTGCAGCACAGCCAATGGTGAGAAATGCTGGGATTTGTAGTCCAGCAACATCTGAACGGCTACTCCAGGGTCTAGGAGAACACATACACGCACGGAGGGGAAAAACATTTAAATCCGAAGAGCAAGGAGTCTTGTGGCACTTTTAAGAGTCGATCAAGTTTTATTTGGCATAACTTTTCATGGACTATAGCCCATATCTCCCGAGGCTGTGGAAGACTGGCATAACTATTCACCCACTCACCCTCCTCCGGAAAAAAAAAATACCTCTTAGCTCTTCTTGACCTTCGCACTTTGAAAAACATCCACCTCTCCCGATCCTTCAGTTCTGCCTCTTCCGCTTAGAAGGCTTCTGAGCCTGTGCGCTCCTTGCACATGCTCAGAACAGGCTCCGGCAGTGCTCCATTCATGCAGGGAGGAGCCTCCGAGATTGCCCGGGAGAGCTCCTGGCAAATTACTTCACCGAGGGCTTCTGAGCATGCCCAGACAGCAAAACGTTCAGAACTTCTCTAGCGTCAGAATCGAGAACAGCCAGCGTTGCCACGCCCACGTCAGCTTCGAAGCATCCTCCTTGTACCTGCTCAGAGAGGGAATTTGTTGCTGTGGCGCAATAGTATTCATGACGTTCAAGTTGTCGATCCACTTGCTAATACTGTAGGAAGGGTCAATATCATCCTAGGGAAGGCAGTCCAACCATAAGTGGCTATAATGTTATGATCTCTTGAGTTCCCTGCTCTTCCGAGCCTCCCTGCCATAAAGAAGGAGGGCGGGCGCAGCAACAGGAGTGTGGCTCTGACTTTTCTTAACTTCTATTGCTGAAAGAATTATTATTCAATGCAGTATTCATATGCAGAGAAAGAAGAATAACCATTTCTGTACCTTCTCACAGGGAGCAATTATCAGAAAAAGGCAGGTATCCTCCATGCAATTTTGTCCTGATCAATTAAGCATACAAACTGACTACCAAGTTAATTTGCACAGGATTATAGAACTGTAGGGACTCCCAAAGGCAATTCAACCCAACCCTCCACAAACGCAGACTATCACGAATAATCATTTAACTAGTTTGTTCATGTATGACATTGTCCTGCCTTACACTTGGGTGGTGCATTTCATTTTTGTTTCTACTTTTGTGCATTTTTCTTGCCCTAATTGCCTCCTCAGTGGGATTTTAAGGAGTCAAAGCAGATTTGTCAAGTGGGTTGCTTTGGTATCCTGAAACTGTTTGATTGGGTTGGATTCACTCACAAACCACTAATTTGGTGCTATCCTTTCCCTTCAGATCTAACCACCTGTCCTGTTAACAAAGTGGATCTTGAGAATTTTACAGCCATGAACACCACAGCAGCGCACCAGCAAACTTCTCCAGGCTCACAAGCTGCAAGTGAAATCAATGGGAATAGAGAGACATGACGGGGCCCTCTAGCAAGCTTCCAGTGACAGAGGCAAAGACATTAAATACTTCATGGCACTCTAAGAAATTGCTTCTTGTAAGACTCAATATTTGTTCTGCTTTTCTTGCTTACAGTTTTGATGGATGAGAAGTTATGGACAGGAGTCAGAGGCCTAATGCACCTCACAGAAAAAGTTGAGATATGACACAGCCGGGATACATATGGTCAGCTGTCTGCAGCTGTTGGGGTGAGACAGAGCACATAGTGCAGAGAAAGTGAGTGAAACTGCCAGTGAGGAAGGATAAATTGGGGAGGGGAGGATGACAGGCATCTCCTTTCATTCCCCAGAATCCTGCTGCAATTTTACTCCAGAATAAGTAACAGAGTGTAATTTGTGCTAATTAATAAGGTACCAGTTGTGCGCCTGGGCATGATCAGGACTCTTAATTAGCTGCAATTTGCTGCTGCAACTTAACACAATTTCACTGTAATTAGCTGCAATTTGCTGCTGCAACTTAACACAATTGCACTGACTCCGAAATAGAGATGGCGGTATTTGTATACTAATACCCTCGCACAGCTGGACTTAACGAGGCATGACCATCCACTCATGTGTACAGCAGTGGCAGAAGCCTTGGTCAGCCTTCCAATTGCTCCGGAGCACCGCACTTTCTGCTCATCTAACCAACTCCAGGAAGGGGGAGGGAGGATGAGTCCCCCTGCATGGCTGCCGAGTGGCTAGATGAGTAGAAAGAGAGTGGCACTTTGGGAATGATTGGAAGGCTGATTGAGGCTGCTACTACCAGCGGACACATGAGTGGACGGTCCAGCCCCAGGAGCTAGACCCTTGTTAAGTCCAGCTATGAATGCCCCCATCACTATTTCAGAATAAGTTCCAGGTAGGATTTTGGCCCCTGACTGTATATAATTCTGTGGAGCCTGAACTGGTTCTTCATGGACCACCAGATTCTACAGATCCATTTTTCAAGACGAATCTTTTGGCAACCAAGTGCTACAGTGTTCAGAGGTGCTTCAAATACCATATAAAAGGAACTACTGGATGGGATTTTAAAAGCAGCAAAAATTCGTGACACAGCAGCTGAAGAAAACAGGCTAATTACACCACAGGTACCTCCATACACAGTCAACATGTCATTTTCCCATTACACCAGTGAAGAAGGCTCAGCAGTGGAACAGTTTTGAGATTTACTCAGCTGCAAGACTCTCAGTCAGAAAGTGTTTCTAAAGTTTGCTTTGGCACCTGATGGAGTTATTCACAGTGACAGGAAAAAAAACTGACCGCCCAGAACTGTGATGGATCACTTCCAGAATCTTAGTTGCCCACAGACAAGATGTGAACTGAGCAGATTTATGTGCAAAAGACCCTAATATATTCAGACATCCATTGTGTTCACTGCTATGCACATTAGTTGAATCTGGTCATGCAACAAGCAGTATCCATGATCACAGGACTGGCTTTCTTTTTGGATACTTTCAGAGTCCTGACATTTCTTTTCCTGAAACAGAAAATGAAATTCTGGAGGAAGGAGGTAGAAGGCATTTCCCAAGATCAGTGCAGACACAACGTTATTTCAGCATCAAAACAGTGAAGGTGGCTGAGAAATCAGAATTTACCAAAAGCTTTCAGCAGGTAAGAACTTGGAAGCTAGACTGGATTGTTGCCCAGGCCAATTTCTTTCAGATGCTACAAGATGGTAAGTTCCCATTGCTTTCGCCATTCATAGAATCACATCACACTTGGTGTATCCTTACCTCTGCAGTCATATCCACATGTGCTGAACAGAGAGGAGAGGGACTTTGGATTTTGTCATTGCCATAAATGCTGAGAGTCCATCTGCAGCTTGTTATCTGAGTCACCTTCAAAATCTTAGTTGCCCAAAGACAAGAGGCCATGGAATTAATTGCAAATGATGCCTGCAACATCACACACACCAAGGAAAATTTTGTCTTCACCACTTTTCAGCTGCAGTTCTTATACAAGGAAATTTTTTACAGCACACAACTAGAGATTTCTAGGAGGTACTCAAGCAGTAGAGGAGGTGGGAGTGAGCCACATTTCTAAGAAAGTACGCTGGCATGTCCCACCTCCAGTGGTACACTAATAAATGCTGCCTAAAAACACTCCAACACAGTGAGGAGCAAACAGAGCATCTGCCCTGGCTATGTTAATGTTGTATTTATGGGTATCATTCTATCTACAATCCAAAAAGTATAGTCCACTCTAAAAAGAGAAACTGAATAGAGCTTCAAGGCATTTAGAAGCCTCAGAATCTTGATTCCCGTTTTACTCCCAACTGTTCTATACAGAAAGATAAAGGCACTTTATATAATATGGAGCGATCCACCTTATTTTCCCTATGATAAGAAAGTCCACAACAGAGGAAAGTCACAGGGCTTTAATAGATAATTTGTACTGTAAAGAAGCAAAAGAAAAACAGTAACAGAGGCAGGCTGTCACCAGTATGACAGGATCACATAGGTGCACTGCGTTCCCAATACCCAAGGCCACAACAGCGACTGGCCTGTTCACCCAATCATAGGAGTGACTTGAGTAAGGTGGGTGTTCTAGCTATTCATCCAGATGCCTGCTGTGCCTTAGATGCATTATATTGTCTCATTCGTTCCTCCAGCTCCGGACGAAAATGACGAATCAGTCCCTGCATGAAGGAACCAAGCAGAATTAGCAAAATATACATTCATAAAATAAATCCATTCCCCACTTTGCATTCATTCATCTCTAGACCATAATCAGAAGTTATCTGATTTGTTCTCATCCCCTTGTCAGGCTAAGTAAGACATAAGGAAGTAAGGACGTTACCTGCACAGGCCAAGCAGCTCCATCACCCAGAGCACAGATGGTATGTCCCTCAATCTGTTTGCTAATTTCCCATAAGGAATCAATCTCTGCCACTTGTGCATTGCCACTCACAAACCGCCACATCACCTTGTTCATCCAGTCAACACCTATAGGAACAAAATAAAGAAAACCAAGCACAACGCCATCATTCTTGAAAGGACAATTAGTTCAAAGACAGAGATCAAACTACAGCCCAATACCAAGCAGAAAAGATTAAGTAGACTTTTCACATTGGCCTGTTAGTTTTAACCTGACAACTTGTGCCATTCCTTTTCAGAGAGCTTTAGGGAGATGCTGATAGCACCCCTTGCCTGGGAGGTAAGAGATTTGGAGGTGTGCACTAAAACCCTTCTCTCCCCTCCACCCCAAATCCCTGTTCTGGAGAAGAACTGCAGTGGAGTCATGAGCTGCAACGCTCACCTTCTCGGCACGGTGTGCACTGCCCACAGCTCTCATGCTTGTAGAATTCAATAAGACGTGCAATGGCTCGAACTATGTCTGTCTGGGAAAGAAGACAACAATGAAGACCTGCTCAGCAGGAAGACACAGAGGCAGGATCAAAGGACTGTCCTTACCGATTTGTCCATGACAATGACAGCTGCAGTCCCAAGCCCAGACTGTGCCTGCACCAATCCGTCAAAATCCATTGGCACTGTCTCACATACTGACTTGGGGATGAGGGGAGTGGATGAGCCTCCCGGAATCACAGCAAGCAGGTTATCCCAGCCACCTCTAACACCCCCTAGACGGAAAGCAGAGATACAATAAGGCCTCACTCAGCTGCCTATCTCAGAACACAATAGAAAGCCCACAGCACTGCAGAATTTTACCCACTAATAAAAAATATTTGAGGCAGACTAATGGCCATTTCCTTATGACATGCAAGACCAGATGGCTGTCACCTGCATGGAGTTCGATGAGGTCACGCAGTGGTATTGACATCTCCTCTTCTACAGTACAGGGTGTATTGACATGGCCTGAGATATTGAAAAGCTTGGTTCCAGAGTTACGCTCACGTCCAAAGCTAGCAAACCAGGTACCCCCTCGACGACAGATGGTAGGTGCCACTGCAACTGTCTCTACGTTGGCCACTGTAGTTGGGCAACCAAAAACCCCTAGAGGCAGGAAGAAAAGTGAGGTAGCTTTAATCACTTTTACAGCTAACTACTGAATTAAGATAATGGAAAATGAGCAATGAGTGTTGTAATTTTCTATCTATCTATACCATAATTTCAAAAAGAAATCCCTGGGTAGCAGGAACAACTATGTTAGCAAAGTGGAAAGTTCCAAGGATAGAACTCTTGTAGCTGTTTTGGGTTGGGAATCCTATTTTGCAAATGTCACAAGGAACGAGACATAATAAGGGTTCTTAAGGGGCTGAGGTTGCATACTCAAACTGACCAATATAGGCATTTGGAGGCCATGTTTAAGTATGCAGGAAAATATCATACCCACACCAACCGCCACAGAGGGAGCATTTAAGATGCCGTACCCACATCAGCTGGGAAAGGAGGCTTGAGGCGTGGCTTCCCCTGCTTGCCCTCAAGGGATTCAATGAGTGCGGTCTCTTCGCCACAGATGTAGGCACCTGCCCCTCTTGCCACAAAGACATCAAAGTCATAGCCGGAGCCACAAGCGTTCTTGCCCACCAGTCCTGCCTCATAGGCCTCTCGGATTGCCACCTAATGAGACACCAGGAGCACAGCTAAGAGCCAGACCACAGAAACAGTTCAAATGGTTTTCCAACAACAGTAAAAAAACACGTAGGCATGAAAGATAGAACATAAAGGCTATCCCAAGTAAAGGCTAAGAGATTAATCAACTATTTCTAGCACTTTTCACAAAATGGTGTAAGAATACTGCTCAGCTACACACCATAATGAGAGCAGTGACTCACTTGCAAGTTTGAGGCTTCATTATAGAACTCCCCGCGAATGTAGATGTAGGCAGCTCGGGCTCCCATAGCCCGTCCTGCTACAAGGCAGCCCTCCACCAGCTTATGGGGGTCATGACGCATGATCTCCCTGTCCTTACAGGTTCCTGGCTCCCCCTCATCTGCATTTACCACCAAGTACTTGGGTCTGAAACACAGGAAAAGTTATGTAAAGTTCCCTGGGAAACAAAGTCTCTCATAAAAAAGCACCTGCTCTATTGAAAACTGTATGCTAATCAATCTGTTTAATTCATACTCAGGATACAGACCAAGTAGTCAGGCCAACAATCCATCATGTTTAAGATCCTGCTTCTGTTCATGGTCAGGGAACTGAGACCTCACTCACAAGCTGTTTTTGCTGTTGGAATTCTGTGAGCATTCAGATGCATTTCCAAAGGACTGTTTATTACTGGGACATCTGTGTCCCCAAATCTTCCAAAACACAGAATATTTTAAATTAAGAACAAGTCTATGAGTTAGGGTATGCTTGCCAAGGCTGATTGTTCTGCAGTGACTTTAGTACACTGCTGTTCTAACCTCACTTTTGTGAGCACAATATACATTTTCACAGTTCCTTTTTTTGTTACACTCCCCTTAACTATTTTAGCACTCTATACACACAGGCTTTCAAACTCTGACAAGCTCAGCAAGACCTCTATCTCCAATGTTATTTAAAACTGCACTTCTCAAGTCTAATCTGAAAATATGTACCCTGTGTCAAACTGTGCCTTTAGCATATGTGAGTGATTTCTATGATGAACAGCATGAAATTTGAAGGTACTCTTTTGCCAATGTAAAGATGTTTGTAAGATTAGAGGTAAAGCAATTGCATAGTTCCAGATTATTGTTCAGCGTGCAGGCATATACAGCACAGAACTTGACACCAGACTGGAATTTGTTCCCACTACAACACACCTGCCATCTGGGGGCTTATTCATGAAGCTCCATTTGAGACCTGTGGGGAAGCCAGCCCCTCCACGGCCCCTTAGGCCTGAAATCTTTATCTCATTCAAGATCCAGTCAACACCTTTCAGCAAGATTTCCTTAGTTTTATACCAGTCACCACGGCTCAAAGCCCCTTTCAGCCTACGGAAAATAGAAAGATTAGGTAAGAAAAACTATCCACATTATTTCATTTAGCAAACCAATTTGTAGAAGGTGACATCATCAATATTATCTTCATGCAGAGCACAAAGACTGAGAGAAATCTGAGTAATTGCAATATAGTATTAATCTGCATTTTGACAGAGCAAAACCTTAGTTAACAACACAGTAGTTGCATTGCAAAATCCTTTCAGGAGTCTATCAAAAATTGACAGGATTTTTAAAGATGTTTTAACACCCACAACATGTTGACTTTCCTTTCCTACATTAATAACAATGAGTATCCAGATTATTTATCATTAGTACACAACACAGACATACCATACTTGGACAACTCTCACCTCCAGTCATGTCGTCCATAAAGATTTGTAAAGATACGATCCTGATCCTTCAGGGGCCCAAACTTTGTTTTCTTGGGAGGTGCCTACAGAACAGAACAAAACAGCTTAAGTCTGCAATGAAACGCCTCTGCCCGGCCCATCCTAACTCTCGATAGACAACAACACCAAAGAAGGAGAAGACGGACGTTGTTATATAACTACTCACAGCAACGATCAGTCTTCAGAGCAAACAAAGCTTGTCAAAGAAGGTCAGAAAAACTCACCGGCTGGGAAAACAGGGGCGAAGTTCAAAGCACCGCATGGCCAGCCACCTATTGTTTCCAGAGCTTAGAAACGTTACTTTGTTGGCCTACGAAAAGTAACGTTCCCAAGCCCTGATTTCTAGACTCCTCTTTCCTCCCCACAAGTTGTCAGGAGGAAGGAGGGCCACAAGCCTACCAAGAACTCACCGACTCCGGAGCAGCGGCAGCGGCTGAAAGGAAGCGAGTTTGAGCGCAAGACCTGCGGAGCCACAGATGCCGAGCCACCCACATCTCGCCGGTGGGGGGGCAGGAAAGGGGGGGTGCTCCCTGCTTTTGGTGCAGCTGCCGACCGTGTCACCTTAGCGCAGTGATTCTACGTCACGACTTCGGGCGGCGCTCCCTAATGTCGCGTAGCCCGAAAAGACACATGCGTGCCTCGCCTCCCGGCACTCGGTTCGCGCAAGGGATTATGGAGATTGTAGTTCAGTTGTGCCGCCTTTATCGGGCTGCTGAGAGGCTTGCTTCCGTACCAGACCTGAAAACCCAAGCTGCTTTCGAGATACAGGAGGTCCTGAAAAAAACTAGAGTCAAGACATTTTATTCTGGGAGGCCTTGAATGATCGCTGTCATCAACAGCAGGTCGTGGAAGCGCTGTTCGGTAATAGCAGAACCGAATCTTCTTGGGGAAATGAGGGTGATGATAATAACGATATTGACGTAGCTGGAGCCATTTCCGACAAGACGCCCTCCCACTAGGCATGAAGCATTCAGAAGTGACTGACGAGTTCCTTCTTTTGGGGGTGCTCTCGCGCCATACACCTTGGCCAAGGCCACAGAGACCCTGTGTCATCCCATCATCAGCTACACACGCTCGGGATGATCTCAACTGTATTAAACTTTATCCCAAGAGACTCCCTGGGGATTTAAAATTCTTGGCACCTAACACTCCAGTCCCCCGAGTTACACCAGCTTCTCTTGGAATCAGAGCCATAACTCGCCGTTTTTGGCACCTGGGGTGGGTCGTGCTTTTCCCCACCCATTGCCCTGAGGCGTGTTCATGAGCCCTCCATAAAAAAGAGGACCTGTCTTTCCCTAAGAATGGGAAAGTTAATGCTTTACAAAAAACGAAAGTGTTGCCATTTGTTTCTAACACTCATGAGCAGGGTCATATGTAGGTTTTGCTGTTCTCTAAATTTTGGTGCCCTGGGACAAAGTACCACTTGCTCCACTGGTTACAATCATGCTTGGAGCATATAAAATTGTGGCTAAAATCCAGTTGTAAGTTGCAACTAAAGTAAGCCTATTGAATCAATGAAACTTACAAAGATTTGACTCACAAAATTACTCCTAATGCAATCGGCCCACTCTAGTTGTGATTTACTATTGGAATTCAGCCCAAAATTACTACAGAGTACTGTAGTTCTTTGTAAGCAGTTTGCCTTTTCCTCAGCAATAAACATCCCTTATCCATCTTTCTGCATAGAAGGCATTTTCACATGCCCTATTAATTATTAAATATTAATGCATACCAGAAATCTGAGGTTGTACATATGAGTCTTATACTTATGTGACAGTAGGCCCCACTGAGATCTATGGGACTTAATTTCTGGACATCTATACAATTCTGCTGTACTTAAATGCATGTTCTCACAGTCCCTCTCACCAATTGAAAATGTAGAAAATGTAGAAGGATTTCTTATACACTCTTCCATGAAGGTCCTCTACAGATCAATTAGATTGACTTCCAAATAAAAATGTTCTTGGTGCTTTTGGATATTCTTGAAGCTCACCTTGTTAAGACTTTGGTGCCTCTCATTAAAAGCTGATGTTGTGATGCAAAACATGTTTGCTAAGTAGAAATCCATGTTTCTTTTTAATTGATCTTATTTCTGAGTAGATATATCTTGAATCAAGATGCATCCTGCATATGCATTCCTTCAGATCCAAACTTTGTTGAGTGGAGTTTATTGCCAACTGTATGCAGAGAACTGCAGCTTTATGTGGAGGTCTCAAGTTGGGACTCAGCAGGACTTTTTTTAAATGAGGGATGAAGAATTCCAGCTTCCGTCAGCTCTACTTAGCCTAGTTAAGGGTGCACAGTCAAGGAAGATGCAGCCCTACAGATCTGGGAGGCCATGGTTGCCCACATGTGCTTTGAAATAAATATGGATAGGATTGACTGCAAGGAGAACAAACTTATCCATTCTGGAAGGATCCACTGGAAGTTCAGATCCTGAAGCTGAGGCTCCAATACTTTGGCCATCTCATGAGAAGAGAAGGCTCCCTGGAAAAGACCCTGATGTTAGGAAAGTGTGAAGGCAAGAGGAGAAGGGGAGGACAGAGGATGAGATGGTTGGACAGTGTCATTGAAGCGACCAACATGAATTTGACCCAACGCCGGGAGGCAGTGGAAGACAAGAGGGCCTGGCGTGCTGTGGTCCATGGGGCTGTGAAGAGTTGGACACGACTAAATGACTAAACAACAACAAGGATTGAGCCGCAAGTTTGCAATCAGTGAAATTGGTGGATTTGACTTCTGAGTCTATATGCCTAGGATGCTCCTTCTTGTTTACGGTATGCAAACATCCTATGATATATGAGAAGGAAATCTGCCATATGTGCATTTTTAACTTCAGTTAGCTATGTGCCGTCAAGTCAGAACTGATTTATAGCAACCCCAATAGGGCTTTCAAGGTAGGTGAGATATTTAAGAAGTGGTTTTACCAGTTCCATTCCTCCAGTGAATTTCTGTGGCCATGTAGGGATTCAAACCATGGTCTCCAGAGTCCTAGTCTGTCACTTGATCCACTATACCACATGGAGTAACCATTTTTAATTTTAGTTCTTGTATATTCTTATTCCCTTCTTGCAAGTACATCTTAACATGGTGTAGGGGTTTGTGTGCATCAGAGAAGCAGAAAGCAATGCTATCATTGCAAGCCTGGACAGCAGGATCACTCAAGGGAGACTTTTCACAGCAGAACCCCAAGATGAAGATGCACCTGCCCTCTTCAAGAGTTATGACCTCATCAACAGCAGAGAATGGATAGTTCCAACAGTGATGGGGGTGAAAAAACCTCTGGAGGACAGCTACTGGGCAGCAGTGGTAGCTGAAGGTGAGGCTGGTGGAGGATCTTTCACAGACAACTATAGTGACACACAAGTTAACTTCATGAGGAGTAAAAGTAAAAGGTGACAAAAACACGAGTTCAGTTTTTCAGCAACTGTCACGTAGACATAAAGAGAACGGTATAGAGTGCCAGAACAGAAGAGAATAATAAAAAAGGAAAAACAAGAGAGCTCTTTCAGAAGAACCACAAAATCAAAAGGAAATTTAAGCTTGGATTAGGAATGCTGAAAGACCAACTAGTAAACATATTCTCTCACCAGGATAAATAAATACAAGGTAGAAACAGTGTGTTCAAGATGTATACAGAATATTTGGTCTTAATCATTTTATTTCCCCCCCGCCCGTTGAATCATCATTCTGCACTCTGAGAATATGCTCAAAATATACTCATGCATGCACCTGTGCTGTATAAGCGTGTAAGACACTGAGAGGTGCACTTTAGTGATAATGATGTTTGTCTATTGACAGAAGACTTGGGGCTCTATAGCCCTCAATTTCCTTTTATTCTGGAAAGGCCTGGCTTCTACCAGTTTGCCTCATTTTCAAGCAGCTGTTGAGCTGTGTTGCCAAGAGCAGGATTACACAGCTGATCTCTCTGATCCTGTTGATTCTTGGTCTGAGAAGGATGATCCCATTACATTGGGAATGTGTTGTCGAGATAGCCTGGTTAGCACAGTAGTCTGGAACTGCTCCAAGATGCTGTGGGTTCTCCAGCTTCTGCTTGGTCCTTGAAGCACAAACTTTCCAGATTTATTCACAAGGATAGCAAGGTACTCCTAGTTTTAGACTGAGAGATAACTGGCCCAGGTGGTAGATGTTGGCAGTGGCAATCCCAAGCTCTTTTCTTCTGAGCCCTCCTTTCAAGCACTCCACACTAATACTTTTTCCCGTGTTGATACCGGCACCTGCTTGTCATATTCTCGGCTATCTGTTTAACCTGGCTGTCTTTTCATCATTGCATCACATACGATTGGTCTCTTCCCAGCTGTACTAAGTGAGCAGGCGGAGAAGCAAGCATTATTCTGTTAGCATTATGTATGCTATTGTTGTGACAACTGCTGCTGCTTTATGGTATTCACATCAGCATGCAGCAAACATGTGCCCTATGGTGTGGGGAAGGAACAGCAAGGTGCCAGAGGCCATAGCTGTACATGTCATACGGCCTGTTCAGTGTTCCATTGTTACCTTCATATGCAATGAAGAACTTTTCATCAAATGGTGAAGTCTAGCTCACTGTCCCAAAGGACATCCTTGAACTAAGTTAGCCATTTAAACGGGATCCTGACAGATATGTGCTCAACCAACATGTAATTTTAAGAGTAAATACAGCTCTAGGGGTGTGATTCTAGTGTGTCAAAAATCTCATGGGATGCTTAGCTTCCCTCTTGCCTCATACTATAAATCCATAGTTGAATTTATCCCTTTTAGATCACAACCTCAAATCATCATGCCTAGTTGCATCCTCATTTGTAGTTTCATTAGCGGAAAGCTATTGGTACTTAAGTCTAGAGCTTGGAAAAGTTACATCTTGGGGCCTATATGGTCCACCCAACATAGCTATTGGTCAAACTGGCTTGGAAATTCCAGATATTATAGAAAAAAACATAACTTTTCCAAGGTCTGCGAAAGCCTAGAAACACCATGAATCAGATAGCCCTTATTGCTCCGCTTCAGAGACCATACTCCAGATTAGTAGCACCTCTCTTGACTACGACAATTTTCTGGCCTCCATTATTTTCCCTTGCAAAGAGAAGCAAGTTTTTAAATCAGCTTTATTAAATCAAGGAATAGAAAACTTTGGAGGTCACTCATTCACAGGCTTGCCATTGGTGGTACGTGACTTAATAGCACATAACAGAAAACAGCAAAGGATTCCAGGAACCGCTACATAAATTGTATTGTGAAGGAGGAACTGGTCTCACTGCTTCCCATTTCCATTGATAGGGCGCTGTTTGCGGGCATCAGATTCTAGGTAAGCCTTGAGCTGTGGCCGGTTATTAAGGCGCTGCACATAACCAGCCAGCAAAGGAAACGAAGCCAGACAGTCAGGTGCTAGGACCAGATGCAGGTGCAATATGTCCAACAGGTTATAGTCTACAAAGGAGATCTGCAGAAGAACAACAGTAGAGAATCACCTTAGAAGAAGGGGGTTGCAAGTGATCATCGTGTTTTGATATGCTAACTTTAATATACCACAAAGTGGTAAACATGCTAGGGACAGCTGAGTGTTTTCATCTTTCACAGCAACTACTTGCTAACTTGTGTGTGTATCCTGCACCAACAAAAAAGGGGGGGGGGAACAATTCTAAGCAGCAAGTTCTGTTGAAACTGTACTCCAAAAAGCAAGGAATCCACAGACCAATACCCTCCATCCCTGCTCAAAACAAGGACACAATGAGGGACCCTTCTTTTACCATAATGTCCAACCAAAGTAAACATTACAACATGACCCCACTAGCCGCTCTACTTGTTACCCAGAACATCACTACTGATATGGAAGAGAGGAAATTAAACACAGACTTTAATATTATCAACATATACAAACAGTAGATTTGTACTGTAGTACTATCCAATGACACAATCTTGACATCCAGGTCAAATTCTAATTGATTTGTACTTGGGGGAAGAAAATCTAGTTGCATTTAATAGTCTCAGATTTAGGGAATGTTCCTTCTCCTCTTCAGGAAACAAAAGTGGACCTCTCTTGTGTTTAGCTGGGGTAGGAATTGCAATACAAGAAGATACAATACAATACATCAACGGACCTGTATTTTGAATGAGAATGGCACAGATTAAGCTGTGGTCTGAATGTCCTTGCTTTTCAGAGTATAACTTCAATCATAACTCTTTCCTTTAACTTGAAGGGGATTTTTTACCCATTTGGGAAATTGCCATATGTTTTGCAAGGTGGGAACACACAGGCATCACTAGTGGGAAAAGAAAGCTTCTCTTTACTGAAAAGCTTAATTTATAAATTCCACTGTATTGCTAAAAGAAAGCAAACTGTTATTAGCAGTAAGTGTACAACATAGACCAACTTTTCCTAGCCTGGGAGATTGATCGTTATGGAAATCATAGGAGAAGACAAATCTCCTATTTACAACTGTCTTTTAGAGACTTGTAGTGCATGTTGTAAGGTGCTCCTCATATATTTGCCCATCCCTACATCAGCTGTTAGTGTACTGCTCAGTGTTTTGTCAGAGGAAACATATTCCAGAATCAGATCTCTAATCATACCCAAGGGAGTGAGTAACAAAAACTCGCCATTTTCCTTCCAGAATTGCTACTCTATACTGTCCACTTGGGTAAAGGTTAAGAGCTGACCATGCTTTCAGAAAATAGGACTGAAAGACAAAACTGCAGTCTCAGTGAGTGACAGCTGGAATAAAAATGTTTCCAAAAAATAAAAGAAATCTACATTGTCACAAACACCAATATGAATCTACAAACTGACCAAATTTCTGTTTGCATAATTACACCAATGTAAACTGGATAACTTCCTGTCTCATCCCCCATCCCTCCCTAGATTCTCTTTTGCCCTGGGGAAGCCTTTGGGGGAGTAAGGAGTCTTTCATAATAAAAAAAATTATGGCCTGGATCAGGCTGGATGGTTGGAAGCAATCCAGCACTGAATTTTTACTATGAAAGGCTCCCCACCCCTGTCCTGAAGCTCAGAAAGGGTTCCACAGGGCAAAAGGGAGGCCCTACAGAACCTTGGAAAATTAAAGAGGGGGGGGGATATAAATCTTGATTAATTTAAATCGATTATTTCTAATTTGGTTTATGCTGACATAACTATGTGGACAGGATTTTGCCCATCAAGTATCATTATAACTGGTTTTCATTCCTATAAATTTGAAAATGTTGTTTGACAGTTCATAAAATAATAAAACTGAAGCATGTTTTTGGAATAGCATTCTCAATTCTTCATCCTGGGGTAAAATTTGAAAGAAAACATGTAACAAATAGCTGGCTGGGTAGATAGGTGAGTTGGGGATCTGGCTGTGGAGCCAGAGGTTGAGAGTTCAATCCCCCACTGTGCTTCCTGCGAACAGAGCCAGCCTGTGTGGCCTTGGGCAAGCTGCACAGTCCCAAGATGCTCCCAGAAGAAGGGAATGACGAACCACTTCTGAGTATTCTCTATCTAGGAAACGCTAAAAAGGATCACCATAAATGAGAATTGACTTGTTGGCACATGATTATTATATATAGCACGGAAGTCTCAAATGACTGCATTAAGTAACGGAGTGTGGCATGTAGTTTTAGTGCCTTACATAGATTTTTGTCCTTCCCTATGACAAAACACATTATACAAATAAGAAATTATGTTAATTTGCTTAATTTGCAGAAAAAAATTGCAGAAAATCTCAATTGTTGAATGAGAAGATTTAATTTTTATACCAGATGCATCTTTGGATAGAGGGAATAAAACAAAGTTTAAGGTTCTAAAGGGGGGGGGGGAATGGCAAAAATAGTTAGGAAGTGTTTCCCCAAAACTGAAAGCAGAATCCAGAACAACTGCAGTACCATCTGAGTATGTTCCAAAAACAGAAGCACAGCCTATACTGGGGGTGCGGGAGGAGAGCTCAGAAATCAAAGCTGGGGAGCAAGAAGATATACCACCCACTTATCAAAAAATGAGATTAGTAAACAATAAAACAAACACACAGTGGAGGAATATGCACCTACCAATTCACCATCCAACATGAAGACTGGCTTACCTTTTTGCCCACAATGAAGCCCTTGCCACCATCATTCTGAGCTAGAAGAGTTTCAAAAGGGCGCAGCTGCCCTGGCAGCGCCTCAATGTACTCAGCTTTGCCTGCATCCTATGAAGAAACAACAATTAGCATGGAGAGAAAAAGATCTCACTCCTCTGTCTCCTTGTCTGCCAGAGAACCCCACTGCCCAACCACCTGGGGGAACAACTGTGAGGTATGATGAGCAGTTACAGCTAGACTCAGAGCTATTTATACGATACTATAAAGATGCAGAAGAATCCTTTGGCTTCTACTTCCTACACCTTGCTGACAATATTCACTGCATTGGGAGCAAGGAGTCTGGATTCTGAGGGCTTTCACTCTTACACTCCAGCAAAGAAGGAAATGTCAGATAAAGAAGGATATGGGGCTGTCCTTTCTCCTAGCTTTTGTGCCTCTGTTCCTGAAACTCTTGTGGCCCAAATCTTCTCAGACTTCTGGAAAGGTTGGGGAAAGTTGGGGGTTTTTTTGGATCACAATCCCAGAATTCCCCCAACCCATGCCTACACTCTATGTGTGATTCTCAGAGATGTAGCCCAAAGAAAAGAAGCAAATGTTCCAAATTCAAACTTTCAATAGAGAGACCAGATTCACTGGGGGGGCTAGGTTTTATCTTTCATGTGTGAATATTAAATAGCAAACTCCAAGGTCATTTACTCTTTCAATAAAACTATGTCCCGTACTGATATGCTCTAAGAGAAGCCCAGGACTTATTCTCTGCATTCCTCCTTCTGGTTATCAGAAACTCCTAAGAAACCTTTTACAGTACAGGGCTCACAATTCTAAAGGAGAAAAGCAAAGTTAAGCCTTCCCACACCACAACTCACGTAGTTTTGATAGATGAGGCGAACGTATTTGAGACGCATGTCCTCCACTCCATCATTCACCATGTCTAGCAACGTTGCTTCCCTTGCATTTTCACCATACAGCCCTGAACCACGGCAAAAAGGGGTTGAAAAGAGGTTGTCCTAATGGCCAGCAGACTCCCTCATAGGCATATAGATGAAGAGTCATGCACTCGCATGTTTTCTCCACAGCCCTCCCGAAAATGCTCACACCTAGCATCTGAGTGTGTTGAAGAAGCTAACTTTACAGCGGCCACCAACGTTACACTGCAATAGGGGACAGAAACCACAGTGCCCTAGACATAATCTGGTCTGCAAAGCTCCCATCCTGCCAGCCGAAAATCTGGCTGAATCCTGACATCTTCCTAAAGGCTCTCCCCCCAAAACACACCCACAAATTGGGAAAGCAAGAGGCAAAATGCAGGAAATCCCACTGTTGGGGGGGGGGCTATACAGTTACCAAGGACATGCCCTGCTTGACACTGGCTGCTGCCTTCAGATAGTGAAGAACTTGCAACCAAATACATTTTTAGTTTCCAGTTCATTATATTTATGGATTTCACTAACTCTGATCTATAATTTAAGTTTACAGCTTATCATGTATGTCTACATGTTTTTCATCTTACACCTCTCCCTGCCTTTTCTGCTCATGGTTTATATTCATTATCTGTCATCAAGTTGGAGCAGATGTATAGAGACCCTAATAGGGCTTTCAAAATAAGTGAGATATTTGAAGAGTGGGTTTACCAGTTCCTCACTTTCAGTGAACTTCTATGGTTCAGTTGGATTCAAACCCAAGCCCTCTGAGTCCTAGTCTATCACTCCGTCCACTACACCATACTGGGTATCTTCATGGCTTATACTACCACTACTGATAGCATCATCTCACACACCGTGATCTATCCTTACCAACTAAATGAAGAGAAAGCTCTACTTGTGTGCATACTGTGCACACAGGTATCCAACTTTCCCCTTCTTCAAGACACAACATGCACTTGGCTTTGCATAAAATCGCAGCTACATGCAGTTTCTTTCCATGTTCCCCAGTCCACCCAAAACCATACCATGATTCCTAGCCAAGTGGCGCAGGATGGCATTTGACTGGTAGAGTACAAAGTCTCCATCTTGAAATTTTGGCAACTGGCCAAAGAGCTGGTGGAGAAGAGGAAGTTGAGAAAAGTGTGTTAGAAGCAGAGTAAATGGCAGAAATTGGGAAAGTTACTTTGCCAATAGCTACACTGGATGGGTGATTCTGGGAACTGTAGTCCAGAGAAATAACATTTCCACTGTTTGGCTAAAGACTAGTCTGAACAGCTTGGCAGATCCCCTTCCTTTGAAGCACCCCCCCCCCAAATGCCAATTCCTAAAATAAAACTTCACCCCAGAGATGGTATTACTCACACATGACTTCTTCAGATCTCCCTTCTGCCAAATCTCTCCTGTCACCACATCTTCTGTCCACTGCTGCCCCTGATCAGCCAGCAGCAGGCGAGTGGCCTCACCTCGACCTATGAGAAAGCCAAGTCAAATGTGAACACTTCGCAGGTGGCAAGAGACTGCAGCCCTCCCCTGTTACCCCAGCCATAATTGGGGAAAGGCATAAACCAGCAGAATGGCTTGCAAAAAAGAAAGCCTCAGATAAATCAACCACAGAAAATTAATAGAAATACAGGGGGCATCTGAGTGTTCACTTACAGTTCCAGGTCATTACAGAATAAGTTAAAGAGCACTAGGTTTTATGGAGAACCCTGAAGAGCAAATCAGTCTATTGCAAGAACAGACCATTTATTCCTACTGTTTGCTTTCTGCTCTTTTGCCAGTTTCCAGTCCCAAAGAGGACTGCTACTTATACATCCTAATTGCTAAGTTTGCTCAGGAGCTGTTGGTAAGGATTTTATCACAAACCTTTTGGAAGTCAAAGTACAGTAAACAAACTTGTACCTGCCTACATAGTTACTGACTGATAAGTGAAGTTTATTGCTTTTTAATGATCAGTACTGGCAAAGCAAATGGAGAGGAAACTGGCTCTATATAAAATATCACTCAGGACAGAGAACTAGTGGATCGGGAGAAAAGAAAGTATTGCCTCCAGGGTAGAAGTCCATACAGCAGCAGAGTGAGCAGAAGGGTCCTCAAATGCATCACAGATGGCTTGTCACATGTTGAGGTAACAAGTCTCAGAATAGCTCTTTCCCCATATAAGATGGTTAGCTCTACAGTCGAAAATGGATTTACTGCACCACTGAATTCACTTGCCTCATACTTCACCTTTCCTCTTACTTCACCAATGAGTTCAAACTCATTTACGAATTATTTGGAAGCAGCTCAAATATCTTGTTGCTCAGTAACTTAGATAAAATTTGGGCCCAAGGTTTGTAGAGTGTGAGAGAATGGGCCATCTTAAAAATCATTATGCCTAAAGAGCTGGGTGTATTTTTCCTAGAGGAAAAAAAAGCATCTACACAATTATCAGAAAGTGTTCTGGAAAGGAGGAAAAAAACTGGCATGCCAGTGCACACTTACCAGAGAGTACGCTCTACTGAACACAGTGCAACATACCTCTGAGTACACGAACAAAATGGCACAGCATTCCCATTGTGTTCTGCTTCCCTCAAGGTACAGTATCACAGTATATACTGCACCGCTACACCATCTAATCAAGCTAAACAGACAGGTAAAAGGAAGCACTCTCCCTCACAGTAAATGGTGAAATTCACTATCACCTGATGTAGTGAGGGTTGCTAATTTGGCCAGCTTTAAATGGGGACTGGCCAGATTCCTGGAAGACAAGAGGATGCTGATGGCTACTACTCATGGGGTGTTTGTGTCTGTTTGGGACAAGACACAGAGGATGCCTTGTATCCATTTCTGGGAAGCATCAGCACGAGTGGCATTTGTTTGCCACTCCTTTCACCTCTTGCTGGTTGGCTTCTTATGGACAAAACACTGGCCACTGTGTGAACATTACGCTGGGCCAAGACAGGTCTTCTGTTTGGTCAACTCCAGCAGGGCTTTCCTTCTTATTTCAAAACAGTATCCTGGGAGCAGAGAATTTGCAGGATCTGTATTTTGCCCCTCCTCTGAGGAAAAAAAGCCTGTTGCCTACAGGCTGTCTGCCTACCAAGTGCGTGCAATCCCTCCTCCTTCCCTCAGCCTTTTGCCAGAACAATGGGCTTTAACCTAAATATTCTTTAAAATTCCATCAGCGCCTTTCCTACAAGAAAGCATCCCACCGAGGCTGTCCCTTCTCCAGCCACCCTTATTTCCGGATAATCTGCCGCCTCACTGCAGAAAAATAAAAAGCCCTCTCTCTGCCTCCCCCTTCCCCACACCAGGCCCATGGGGTGCCTCTGAGCCCGCCTCAGGTGGTGTTGCAGCACTCACCGCGAACGGGGAAGTAGACGAGGGTATATTTGCCAGGCACTAGAAAGGGAACAAGGAGAAAACAAAATGTATTGTTAAGAGACTTCTCAAAAAGCCTCTCCCCCCCCGCCGCCGACCCATCTCACTGCCCTGCCTTGACCTGCAGCTCTATCGAGAGATTAAAACTGCAGTCCTAATCCTCCTTTACCTGGGACAAACCCGGGGAGCTCGCCCTTAGCATTGCCCCTTTTACGCGGCGTTATCCACTGGGATCAAAGCAACCCCCCATCTCTCTTCTTCCCCCCCCCCCGGTCCCGGGGGCGAACGAGGGCCACCCTCCCGCCAACCCAGTGGGGGCGGAAAGGGGCGCCATCCTCGCCAGCGCCGCCTTTAGGGCGACGAAACCCTACTCACTGTCGGGAGCGCCAGCAAAACAAAGATGCAACAGATCCCAAGCTCGTTCTCTCCTTTGTGGGCGGACCCGACCCGAGCGGCTCAATAAATGTTCAGGCAGCAAATGCTGAGTCACGCTGAAGGCGCAAGCCTCGGACTCGCCACGCTTAAAGGAGCAGGCGCCGCCGCCGCCAGAATCCGGCTCCTCGCCTTGGCTTAATTATTCACTGGAGCACGCAACCAGGTCAGGCGCGTTGAGAGGCCGTGGCGCCACAATTCTCGAAATTTCTGGGAATTTCAGAAGCCTCGGAGATTTGCTGCCTCGAGAAAAGAAGACAATTGCCACTGAATACTGTACGAGTCCATGTATGCCTTCTCGTGACAGCTAGAAGCTCCGTAGAGATCTCCTGCAGTTAGGCTTGTGCCGCATCTCCTTTATGTTAGCGGGCTCTCCGTTGTTTTACTTTTTCTGTTCTTCTGTCCAGCGGCTGTACCTGAGGATTTTGTTACAAGGTTAACTGCAAGCATGCCCAAAAGAGTTTATAACACCTTGGAAAACGCACCCAGCTTTCCCCTGGTGTATTATGACGTTCAAAATGGATAAAGATGCACTGTGTTTTCTTTTAGGAACAAAAGCACTCGCCCTAGATACTGTTTGAACGCCTACTTTTCCGAAACTGTGTCCCCTGTGGGCTTTTAAGTTTGTTGTCAGATCACTTGCACTGATTCAGAGCCTTTGATCTTCTGCAAGCCATGTCCACTGAGCTGATCCTGTCTGTAGGATGTAGTATGCACATTGAGTGCAAATGGTAAAATATGCTAGTGGAAGATACATGAACTAGGTATTGTTAGCATGACCTGCCGTGCTGCACAATGTCATTTGAAAACCTCCAAAATCAGTGGCATTTCCCCACGGGTAAAGCTAGTAAGCATCAGAGAAATGATACCTTTCCCCCTCACACTGCTTTGTACACTTGAATTTACACCAACGTGACCCCTAAGTACAGAGTGTGGGCCAATACACTATAGATACAATCTAACATAGATTCAATCATGTGAAATGCGGGACATGGTGAGGTACTGTGCCCAAAGTAGCTGGCTTTGGGTGCTGTACCACCCCTGACTTCTGTGTAGTGAAAATGCAGGCCTAATTATATTGCAATTAGCTGTATTCATTACAGCACAGATCTCATGGTTTAGCTGCACATATTTAATGTACAAACATCCTATGATAAAGCGTAGCTAGCACACACTGTGGGCTAGATGTAAAATCCGCTTGTGGATTTATGCTGCCAGCAGCATGGCATATTGTAGTTCCTAAGTGGTCAAAGGTAGGCTAGGTGAAGCGGATCCAGACATTGGTAACCTGCTAGAGTCAACACTACTAAAATTGAGAAGAGAAGGACAGTTGATAAAGCACATATGCTACCAGTCTGTTATATGACTTTAGGATATGTAAGCTGGACTTCCCTAAAGGAAGTCACAGGCTTGACTTTACAAGAACTGGGCAGAACTGTTGAGGACAACATATTTTGGGGATCACTCATCCATAGGGTCACCTTAAGTTGGAGTTGACTTGGCAGCACATAACAAGCCAAATGACTACTCCAGAATACAGTAATTTGTTGCATTATATTGCTTATTAATTTATTATTAGAAGTATTATTATATTTATGTCCCATCCTTCCTGCATGGAGCTAAAAGATAATATACATCATTCTGCTTCTTATGACTTCATACAACAGCCCTGAGAGATATGTCATGCTTAAGGTGAGCAGCCCATAGTTCCTGCAGTGACTGGGCATATGAAACTGAACTGCTCTGCTTTTAGTCTGACCTTTTCACCACTACATTGCGTAGTACACCTACTTTCAGGCAATAAAACATTCACACACACAGTAAACATCCTGTTTCACATTTCTCCCTCCCTATAATCTATAATTAACCCATTCCCCCTTTCCCCTTCTACATGAATTTGTGACTTCTAGCCCTCTGTTTGCTATGCCTGCAGCCATCTCCCTGCCACCACTCACCAACTTTTTAAACTCCTTCCGCAAAGCTTTTCTTAGACCAGCAGTTCTTTAACATGGACACCCTTTAAATATCTTTATTTCAGCAGACTACCAAGACTTACCCCTTCATGGATAGCTGTCTTGTCATGGTGAAGGGGCTTGAGTAATTCAGAGAAGTTATGAGCTATGCTGTGCAGGGACACCCAAGACGGACAGGTCATAGTGGAGAGTTCTGACTAAACGCAATCCATCAGGAACAGGAACTGGCAAGCCACTCCAGTATCTTTGCCAAGAAAACTCCATGG